TTCTACTGGGACTCTTTCTCCCAGTGTTTGAAAGGGCAACTCTTTTACCAACAAGGAAAGTGACATTACAGGGGAGTGGACAGCACATGGTGGGGAGAGCACATGACCCAGGCAGTGACTCTCCCTGCAGGAGCAGGCTGACCCTTCAGACAGAGAAAAAAGAAGCATCTGAGTGTGACCTCCTCTGTGAGAAGTTTCCGTGTTTCCTTCTCACCCATTAGAAAAGGGTAATGACTGGGGTGTGTTTTATTTCTTCATGGAGTTTAGCCGGCCCAGTTTGGAGAACTTAGTTTCAAACACTAGGTGGGAACAATGACATGGTGTCTTTGGTCATCATTTTGCAATAAAGGCCACAGTGTCAGCTGAAAATGCAACACTTGGCTGTTCTTTTGTTTCAGTCCAGACCGCCCATTAGCGACCTGGGTCTGGAGGGTGGAGCGTCCTGCTTAGTCACCCGGCTGTAAACTGGGCGCAGGAGCTTGGGTTTGCAGTGACAGGGCAGTTAGGTGCCGTGGAATGAAAAGATGGAGTAGATAGCATCACCTGAAACTGTGGGCTTTTGGAGACTTTCTTCTTTCTTTCTTTCTTTTTTTTTTTGAAGAAAAGCATTTATTCCACAAACCTTTCTTTAGGACAAGTCTGCCAGGAAGGTGCTACCCAGATCGTTGCTTCTAAAACCAGCCTTTCATGGGAACCTTCTGGGACTTGGGGGGGCTTTTGAAACCTACACATTCTTCACTTGGCTGGGGCTGTGATCTGCAGCAAGTCAGTCTGGCCTGGAGTATCTGGCTCCAGGGAGGGGGCCTTTCTCATCCCCTCCCCCCAAATACCTTTAGTACCCCCCTCCTAAGATAAGGACTAGCCCAAGGTAATGCAGCCAGAGACCTGAGCACCTTTTAGTAACCAACAGCTGTTTCCACCTGGACTGTGGTTCTACCCTGCAGGCACCTGCGGGTGAGGAAGATCTCCCTTGGGGGTGGGGGTGGGGGGGAGTCTGAAGATGGTCTCAGCCAGAGCAGGAGGAAGTCCTCACCTGCCCAGGGCACCTTCCCCGAGCAGACAGACCAGCATTGAAAATGTGGTTCCAGTCACCACTCTCTCGCTTGAGTTATCACAAAACATGATTTCACTGGTGTTAAAGTTTGACCGAGAACATCTGACTTTCTTTCTTCCTCCTGGGACTTTTCCAGGAAGAACGAGGCTGTCTATGGCAAACTGCTCTGCTTGAATTGGGAACTAGATCAATCTGGAATTAGGCACTGAGATAACAAAGTGCATCTCCTTCCCTTTCCTCTCGCCTGAATGAGATCACGGCTCAGCTGCTGTGATACAGGTGAAACTAGGGACAGTTTCTCGTGGGGATGCTTTGGACTTGATGAAAACTTACGATAAAATATTATTTGTGGGGGCGCCTGGGTGGCTCAGTTGGTTAGGCGGCTGCTTTCAGCTCAGGTCATGATCCCGGGGCCTGGGATCGAGCCCCACATGGGGCTCCTTGCTCAGCGGGGACCCTGCTTCTCTCTCTGCCTGCCACTCCCTCTGCTTGTGATTTCTCTCTCTCTCTCTGAAAAAAAAAAAATTATTTGTGAAATGCGAGTATGAGTTTTATGGGGAAACCAATGGGCTCGCGGCCCTTTGTGAGATTAATAATCGCACTACGTGCATGTCCTGATTTGAAAAATGGGCACACAAATGCCCATGGGCAGGCCAGGGGTAACTGTAATTATAAAGAAAACGGAGTAGAAAAGCAAATTAAAATAACAAGTGAAAAAGAAAGAAAAAGAAGAAAAAAGAGGGAAAGGAAAAGACTTTGAAGGCACTTTTTCCATAGGAAAAAAATATTTTATTTTTTTAAGAACAAATTCAGTTTGAAACAGACGTGGAATGTGACCTCACGGGTTTCATTTCTGGGGGCTGACTGCAATGTGGAAGTAAAGCAGACTGAAAACCTAGGACAGGCTAGTAAAATAAAACGAAGAAAGAAAAAAATATTTATAACTCAAGCATAATACTGTGTTACTTACAAATTGGACAACGAAATTTTAAATAAATATCCATGGTACATAATTACGGCACAAATATGCAGCAATTTGGCAACCTTTTATACCATTTTTTCCTCATTACAGTGCAAAGGGGAGAATGACACTGCCGTTTAACAAGCTGTAGCTAAATACATTGCAAAATTCAGATTTTATACAAAACATCTTGCTTAGACTTTATAAAAAACCAACATTGCTCTATGTACACAATCTGGGTAAGAAAAGCCATTTCTGTTTTGTTTTCATGTGTATTTTTATTAAAAAGGTGAATAAGGCTACTGTAACACCCCAAATCCATATACAGCAAAATCTGAACCTATTTACAGCATCTTCACTTAAACATTATGGTGCAAATTCCAAAGTCAGGTGACTAGGGATGATAATACAAGCAAGGCATTTACAGTAACTTTTCCAAAGCTGAACCAACTTCAAATAAAGGGACAGTTGGTAGATTGTCATATTCTGCACCAGACACAAAACAGACGCACAGAACACTTTTCAACTGGTTGCAGGTAACTCTTCATCAATTCTCTGATTTCACAGTTTAGCATATAACCAAAATGTAGCCAACTGATGAGACACACATTTGATTTCATTAAAATCAGACTATTTCCCATTTTTCCCCTTCTTGCCCCTCTCCCCCATCCTCAAGGTTAATTTTTGATGGCTTACAAGAAACTCTTGTATGGATGCACGTAAAGGAGAGGGTAGGGTGATGGAAAGAATCACATATGGACTGTGGCTGGTCGCCATGGCAACCCTGCACAGAACTCTGATAGAGATATATATAATATATATTGTAGATATATATTATACATATATGTACACACGTAAACCACTCACCCACTCAAACACACACACACGCACTTTGGACCAACATCATTTTCAGGTTCAGGAAATAGAGAAGGAATAATTTCTGTGACAACTCGTTTTTGCGGTATTCACTGGAGGTTTGAGAACCTTAAAATGCTGTTGCTACATTTTTTTTTCTCCCAATTCAGAAAGCAAAGTGTTACCATGGTAACGGGACTATGTTAAAGATGTCTATTTTGCATAGCACATAAAAAGTAGGTTTCCTGTTTACTCGTTTTGTTTCCCAGAAGGGAGGGGACCAGGGGACTGGGGAGGAGGGAGGGAGCGGGGGCTGGAGCTGAACTTGCCGCCATAGCCCCTCCACTTGACCCAGTGGGTTTCAGAGAACACTCGAGCTTGAGCCCCAAGGCAAGGGGAAACACGACACAGGGAAGAAATGCCCGGACATCTTGCCACTGTTCAAAATATGGTTCGGTCACGTCCATTTCCTGGTGTTTGGGGCCTGCATTTCCTAGTCTAGGTTCCGTGAGATGCCTTCAGAGGACTGGGTTATTTTTGTATTTACTCTTGTTATTGTTGTTTGGGGAGTGATGCTGTTTCTTCCCAGAAGTAGCTGTCCGATTTTTCTTTTTTAAGCACTGGGCGTTGGGACCACGCAATTGCCACGAGTGAATTTCACATCCTCTGGCGTGATTTGTGTGCAATCTTAAATATATATTAGTAAAAATCTTTCATTTTCTACCCCTTGTGTTCTATATACCTATTATAAATACGTGCTATCTTCCTTCTCCCCCTCCACGTCATCACCGATTTCCCGCTTAAGGACCCCAAGGGGTTCCCCGTGTGCTTCGCCCAGACACAGAGCAGCCTGGCTGTGGCCTCGCTCGGTACCCTCCCTTGGCCCACGCTGCAGACAGGACAGCACCGCCAAAAACCAACGTGTGGGGAGGCTCCGTGGCGGAGGGGGTGGGGGAGGAGCACTTGGGGGGGAGGGGCGGGGAATCTGACCTACCTTTTACATAACAGAACTCCTCAATAACATCAATGATGATGGAATTACAGCCTGTTTGACCTTTGGCTTTTCAACGTCTAGGTCAGATTTGGCTCTCTGCTATTCTCCTAAATGCTTTCCCTGTGTTTAATAAAATGTGATCAGGATAGCAGCTGAGTCCGCTCTAGACCTCATCCAAAGCAGACCGACTCTCCTACAGCTTCCAAGCTGTACATCTTACTGCCGGCACCACAACAGTCCTGCCCGAATCCGTCATCAGCGCCCACGGCTCCCTTCCCTCCCGGCCTGTTCCTCCCCCAACAATGCCCCTTTGTTCTCCCCAGCGCAGAGGACTCTGGTTTTCCTGCACGTTGCCATGCGATCAGGGCGGATTCCTTCAAAGGCACCCTCCTCCACTGTGAGTGGTGTTGTGTCTCCTACTTGCCTCTTAAAATCTCAGCCAAACCGAAGTGCTGTGCTACTCACGGGGCTCTCCCCCACCGGACTCCGCTTCGGAGGCGGCAGCCTGGAACTGCATCTGCAGACAGCCCTTGTCCCCGGCCCGCTCCCTTCCGCGAACTCCGCGGCCCACAGCCCCGCCTGGGGCGCCTTATTAGCAAACACAATTTCTAGAAGTGTATTACCCATTCCGTGGTAGCCGTGGCTGCAGGTGCGCAGAGCAGGAGACCCCCCAGACGTGAGTGTTCCAGCAGTGATGCAGAGTGCAGAGGGAGAGGGGCTCTCCCGGGAAGCACGGGCAGAGCCCCGGAGATCGGGCAGGGGCGCTGGGGGGAAGGGGTGCCATGGTGAGGACTGGAAGCTGGACCTCTCGGAAGCCTCCCCCAGCCCGAGGTCTGTGTGTCAAGTCCGGACGCTCCGCAGCAGGAGCGCCCGAGGCAGAGGACTGCATGTCCTGGTGCGGCGGCCCGGGACTCCTGCCCTGCCCGGGAGGCTCGGTCTCCCCCGGCTCCCCGCAGGCCTGAGTGCCGGCAGCGCATGGTTTGGAGGTGGAGGGGTGGGAGGCGAGCGCCGCAGTCCCAGCGGGGCCCCCTCTGCGCCCCAGGCTCCCCGTGGCCGGCGAGCATCTGTCTCCACCGCGGCCGGGGCGCTCACACTAGAGAAGCTGTCCAACTCAACAGGGCTCTTCCGAGAAGCGGCGTTCCCTCTCCCCCGCTGCGCTCCAGTCCAGGCGACGCGCAGGGGGTCATCAAACCCTCCCCGGGCGGCCGCGGGCCAGGACGTTTCCTCCGGGAAAGCCAAGGCACCGCCGAGTCTCAGACCTTGTAGTAAATGTTCGCAGGGCTCTGGGGGGGCATCTCCTGGACTATGTACACGGGGTGCCCGTAGTCCCCGCTGACCTTCTCGTAGTGGGGGCAGAACACACTGTCCGCAGTCCGCAGCGGGATGATAATGTCACTGGGCTCCGAGCCGTTGTTGCCACCGCCGCGCTTCGGGGTGGCCAGCGTGCTGAGCGACAGCGTGGCCGTGTGCTGCGGCGAGTGTTTCCGGTGTCTCCGCCGGTACTTGAGCAGGAGGACCACCAGCGTGATGATGATGACGATGAAGATGATGCATCCTGAAGCAATCCCCGCGAATAAGGCCACTTCGGAACCGAGGATATTGTTCCCGGAATGTCCGGCGCTGCTGCCGTCTGTGCTAGAACCTGACCGGCGGGGAGAGAGGGACACGGAGCAGAAGGTTACTGCCGGGTGGAGCGCGGCCGGCGGGTTGCGAAGCCACACCAGCCGTGCGGAGGACCGCCACCCCCCCCCACCTCGACCCCCCAGACCGCGCCCCTCGCGCCCCCCGCTGTCGCAGAGCCCCGCCCCAGCGGCCACAGCCACGCGGCTCTGGCATCAGCACGGGCGGCCCAGGTCTGGCCTTGCCGGCTGCTCCCAGCCACCGGCGCCAGGGGCGAGCCACGGCGGGGACACGCGCAGGAGGCAGCCCCTTGTCCCCGCAAGCGATTCCTGCCCCCGCGCGCCCTGCTCTTCGCCTTGCTCCCGGGCACCGGCTTCGTGGGAACCTCACGCTGCCCGCATTCTGGAGAGGAGCCCTGCCCCCTGGCACCGCGGCCCGGGAGCGCCCGGGGACTGCTGGGGCCCGGGAAGAGGTTCAACTCCTAACTCGTTTGTATTATTTGATTTACACCTAAAATATATTTGGAAGGCGGCAGAAACTCTCACAGGGAACAGGCTGCCAACCCAAATGTTGAGCACGAGAAGAATCGCCTGGCATCATTGTGTGATCCATTTATCAGTTTGCCACAAGGATTTGACACGTCTTGTCACTGAAGTTAGAAATAACAACGTCCCTCCTCGAGGCTTAGAAGGGGGGCATGGCCGCAGATGCCGGTTCACACAGCTACCAACCAGGCACACGCACCCGGATGCGGGACGGCTGACGCCTGTCCAGCCACCGCCGCGCACGGCTGTCATCAGCGTGCAGACAAGCACGTAGCCAGCTGCCCAAGGACTGCGGAGAAATGAAGTTCAATGACAGCCGACTTTCCCTGGTACTCTAAACTGTGGCCAGGGATCCGTTTGGTATTTTATTTTACACCGAAAACACGAAAAAAAATTCCAGCCATATAACCACCTGAAAAACACGGCATTATTCAATATTTTAATATGCTGCCACCTAAAATGTAGAAGCAGATCAATCGGGCTCTTTGTGGATTGGATGTAATTAGATGAGGGAATAGTACATTAATTACATATACATTAACATCGGCTCTAAGCTAGTGTTGCAACCGGCACAATTAAGTGTGACCAATAAAAATAACTTTGGTCGAATGAGTGGCGCTCATAATTGGTCCCCACATCTGATGAATTCTGCTCTTCTGAATGTGAACCTTTCGTGGGAATGAGTTCTTTTGTTCTGACTGTGTAATTAATAACGACTAACCGAGAGCAAAGATTACCGACTCTGGGAACTCCAAGTTCACCCCACTGGTGTCCAAGTGCTCAGACTCTATTCTACCCCTTGGGCCTGGAGGCACCTGGGACATACAGACCTATCCACACCCCCTCATGCTGCTATACCTGGATTTGGTTTGACAAAGGGACTTGTCGTTGAACTTCTTCCATTTGTACCGGCTTCTAGTTCTGGGCGTCGTGTTGGATCATTATGCCTGGTGGACCCAGCGGAATTTGCATCTATATGAGAAAGAACAGATTATTTACAGCCCGGGCGTCTAATGCGATCTAGCTCTAGGAGCTTCTGGATATATATCTCAAGAGGCATAAATAGCAACGAACGTAAGATTCTTTATGCAAAGTGCTGTGACATACAAGAATATAATTTTCCTTTTCAAACAAAACGGTTATACTAGTTATTTCAGAGGTTTCGATTCCGAGGCCATCTGTGCAAACTATAGGGATTCTTGCATTTGGCACGCAGAGCATTGCAGATGACATTTCAATTTAAACGAGCAAGTTGATTGACTACTATACCAATTTCTAATTAGAAGAATAATTCTGCACCATAGGTTATCTGTATGTGAAAAGGCTCAGGAGCTAAAGTCTTCTGTAGTCAAGAGGCAGAAATGGGCAAAATGGCAGAAACTTAGTTTTCACTCTGGGTATCTTAATTTTTGGATCAAAGAGGTGTTTCGCTTTTAAGAAGAAAAAAGAGTGTATATATAAGTATATACATTAGATGGCAATGGACATCATAGCTGGCCGACCTTAACTTTTAGAGGAATCTCCAATAAAAGAAGTGTGTGACATTGACTTGAGGCAATCTGTCAGTGGCTCAAGGTACAGAGAAAGGTTTGCTTTCAAAACTAAGCTACGAGGGAGTGAAGGCGGGCAGTAACGGCACTGGCGCCACACTCGCTGGGGGCCCAAGCAGATTACAGTGGCTTCATGAAGCAGCAGATGGTCTTTACCTTGTCCAACTTTCATGAGGATCTTCATGGCTCTTGTCTGGCACACCCCTCCCTCCTGGTTATCCAGGCCCTCCAAAGACCCATTTGATGTAGCTGATTAAAAATAAAATGGACAAAACAAAAAAATAAAGAAAAAATCAGGAAATCAATAAGCCAAGTTTACATGAACATGAAATGTCTGAAAACAATTTGAAAAATAAGAATTCACTCTTAGTCACAAGTTTTCTGAAAGTATGGAATGCTGAAAGCCAAACATAAAAAAAAAAGAAAAGAAAAGAAAGAAAAATGGAGACTGTCAACACTGGGGCACACATGCTATCTGATTTCAAGTTTACTTAAGCGCTTCCTCCTTCCTTCAGAACCAACTGATTTAGTAGTAGTCCATACATAAAAGGGATAGCATCATCCAAAAAGCTACTATTTCAGGGTCAAAGTCAAAAGAGCACGAGAGTTAATACAGTCACTTTAAAATGTGGTAATCAGCCCACAACACCTGCTTCCTCGACTACAGATTTCCTGCTTCAAGAACAATTAGCTTGATGCTCCCTGTTTGCCAAGCATCCAAGTTCGGTAAACACTAAAAGAGGAGACTCCCACCCCCGCTTTCCTTCTTTCCCAGCCTTATTCGAGATGAAGAAGGAGGCTAAGATTCAGGCCTTTCAAATTCTGAAGTTTCTCTCTATCATTCTGTACTGGATCAGTAATAGCAAGTGTGTTCTTATTACCGAAACGGACCTTGGGGAAACCTTCAACCCAGCTACTTGCTAGAGGACAACTTGACTAACAGAGGGGACCACACATGTCCTCTGCTCAGTCAGGGCCCTGGGGCAACAACCCTGGGGTGTGTGGGAAGGACGTCCTGCAGCCACTGGCCTCCTGCTGACCAGCTTGATTTGCTTCCTACTTCAAGAGGGAGGAGGAGGAGAAAGGATGGAGCATTTGACCATTTTCAGTACTTTTAAAAAAACAGCCTATGGTCTACTGAAAAACACTGCTGTTCTGTCTTCTTAGGATGGTGGGTCCTCTGATGAGCATTGTAACTAAAGCTGCGAAAAGACAGCCTGCCAGGGACTTTGCTGAGGAAGAGGATTTAAGTCACAGGTCAAGTTCCAGAAGAGAAAAGAAGGTGGAGAGTGCTAGACATTTTCATTCCTCCAAAGTTCAAGGGACAAGGAACAGAAGTGTTTCATATACATTTCTGCACTGTAAGTCATTCTCTACTTGGATTATCAAAGGCTTGTCTACTAACACTGTACTTTTCAAGGCATGGAAACAGGGACGGCATTTCTGGCAAAAATAAATCCAAAGACATTCTTTTAATGGGTTGTTTTCCAAATGGCAAACAAGGGCTACATGCACGCACAGAAATATGCACGCTACAGATAATTGTATTAGCTGCAAAATGAGACCTACTTATTTGTCCTTGTGTTCTTGAGTTACCGACTTTTACTTTCACTGTTTCCCTTAAAAACAATGGCTGCTTCTTGTGTGTATAAATATCTCTTTGCTTATCTGAGTGTTTCCTTAAAGTTTACAGTCTTACAATCATACCTCCCTCGTCTGCTGATGCTGGCACTGAGTTTCTCCTGGGCAAAATGGGCAACACTGCCATCATAATTTGGGGGGTAAAAAATAGACAATATCTTCTTGTAGATTGTGAGAAAATATCTGGCAGAAGAGTTAAAACAAGTACCTATAAAGAAACTTTATATGCCTCTGTGAATCTAATAAAATCTTTTTTTCTCCCCATTTCTCCATGGGCTTTCCCTTTCCCCTCCTCTAGGCAGGTTCCTACATTTTGAAGTGTCTTTGCCTCCTAAAGGCATGAAACAGTGTGGCTATCCATGACCAAGTACCCTTTTGAGGAGTGCTAGAATCTTCACTTAGTTCAAGTTCTCAGTTGATCTTTCTCAAAAATGAGGAAATGTTCTCCTGTAGAAAAACGCAGAAAGCTGAGGTCTTTATTTGGCCGATGGCTTCAAAAGTTTAGTTTACTTAATTCAAATGGAATCTCCATGTTTTCTAAGTCATATGCGCATAAATGTGCCCACATGCAAAAGTGCACCCAAATGCAGTGAAATGACTAACTTTTTCCAGCTAACGGCTTAACAAATATGTTAAAAATAAGATCTGAAGGGTCATGCACAGAAAAGGGAGAGACTACGGAGGTTTGTCTATTTTAATCTTGAAGTAATAAGGTCAGAGATTCAGATATAAAAGGAAAAAATAAATAAATAAAGGAATGAATACCAGAACCAGAAAGGATAAGACAAGGTAAGGAAGCTTCACCTGGGAACAGAATTCAAAAGTGCTGACTGCTTCTCCTTTGTTAGTTTGGAAGCAAGCACAGAGGAGCGCATCATTGGGTGATTTTTTTTTCTTTTGATTTTAATTTGTAGTCAACGCCCTTTCTGAATATCAGTTCTTTCATGCGGAGCTCCTTTTGGTTTACCCTAAATGTTGTCCCAATAACCCCCCACATAAAGAACTCAAGTATTCAAATTAAATTGCAATCTATAATTTAGCATCTACAGACTCTAAGACGGGAGGAGAGAAATTGTGCAGCAGGAGAATGAACCTGCTTTGCATCTTTTGCATTTGAAACTTTTTTTATTCTTTGGCGGCAGGGGTGGGGAGGGGGCTGGGAAGAAAGCCTTCTGGCCTGAGTTGCATAGAGGGAAATGGAAGTTTGTGCCTTTGCATGGTTGTTGGGGTTTCAGGACACCAGAGGCTGCTGCTATTTTGGAGGGGTGGGGGTGAAGGGGGAGGGTGGACCAGGAGGCAAAACGCTGTGATGTGCATTCCAGACTCTGCTTCATTCCCCTTTGAGTCAACTTGGGAGCAGGAAAGTTTACTGGAAGATATTGAAAAATTCATTACTAATGTTAACATACCATCCCCAATACCTGGTTGTTTAAGAAGGGGATAAACTCTATAATAGAGTGAGATGTTCTGCCATGGAAAGATTTTTGCCCTGCCCTCTGTTAGGAATGACCCGAGTGGTCACAGAAAGCCCGGTTTTCAGATGTCAGCACCCAACTGAAACTTCAGAAAGTAAACTTCTGAGCATATTTAAAATAACTTAAGAGAGACTTGAACTTATTTTATTTTTGATACCATAATGAAAATTAACCTCACTCTTCCTACCATACCACTTCATCAGGGAGTGTAAGGAGTGTGGTTCTCAGTGTTGAGGTCCCCCTGTCGCTGCCTTGACCAAGGACCCTGACAGGTGTCCCATCCTGACTGTACCTCCTTTGGGCAATGAGCTCTGAAATAAAGCCACAATTGATTTCTGATTTCTGCCATAACATCCAGTCACCAGAAGCTTTACAAGCAGGCGTAGCGGCAGCCTGCTTGAAAAACAAGAAATTGCTCATGCTTGGGGAGAAAAATCTACTTGCATTTCAGGAGACAATGTTGCAATATTTTTACTGTCGATTTTAATGTATTAGGAATTTTTAACTTAGAGAAAGAGTAAAAATAAATTGTTACCTCATTATACTTAGTTTTTCTTTGGGTCTCTCTGCCAGTATTAGCTAATGCCACCTCAATTACAGTATTACTAAATGGATGAAATTGCATTTAATCATTTAGAGACAGAAAAAAAAAAAAAAAAACCACACTGATATACCTAAGCTTTTAGTGCCCAGACAGTTTTTTCCCATGGCCTAGAGAAAAAAAAAAAAAAAGAGACTTTATAAAATTAAAAATTACTAGAAATTTTCTCCATCCAGTTAGAAAATAGGTTTAATAAAGATACATGGGCATTTTATGGCCTGCTTTTAAAAGCCTCAGCTTTGGGGATCTAATTGCATGCTGTAAGTATACTGAAATCACTAGATTGCTCCCCTGAGGCCTGATTTTCAGTGGGTGGAGATCATTGCTCAGCAAAAAAGTACCCTGAGTTCACACTGCCTGAGACGTTCTTCACATCTGAAAACTGCACTGGCCACCATCTGTGGTTTCCTGTGAATGTGCACACGGACTTCCACTTTGCTGCAGTTCTGACTCATGGGCAATCCTATGCTGGTTATCAGAGTACGGAAAAGAGAACCGGTGAATAAAACGGACTAAAGGGGCAAGAATCTTCCTGGCTGTGTTTTCTAGACTGTGCCCACGGAGAGGAAGTAATAGTGCATTTGAACATGGCTTAGTCTGATTGTTACTGCCCTGCACCCTGGGGTGCTGTTTTCGGTCTATCACATCGGGAACGCTGTGCTAATCAGATGGAGAATTCGCTGCTGGGTTTGTGCGGGTACATGGGCCTCATTCGCAAAGAGGTCAGGAATGAGGGCAGCACAAAAAAATTCTCCAGGATAATATACAGCTTCACTCCGAAGCTATGAAGGAAAATTCTTGGTTATGCTGGAGAGGATGAAAAACACACTCCTACACTCCTACTCTGGAAGGTATTTCAAACTATTTTAAAATGTAGCTTGTTGGGATGGAGCACAGCGGGGGGTGGGGGGGCGGGGGGGTGGCACAGGTGATGGACAGACACTCAAAGGCGAGTATTTTTATCCACTTCATCAAAGCCCTCAACCCAAGAAAAACAGGTAATAAGCATATCGGGTCAGTAAAGCCAGAGTTCAGTTGACTGTTAAGAATAAAAACCAAAATTATCTAAAGCTACATGGGACATTTTACTCTTTTTTGATTATGAAATAAACAGCATTTTCTGACAACTCTCTATCAGTGTCATTTTCCCTACACTACTCTCTTCTACCACGTCATGATACGCCGGCCCTCCTAATTTTGATTTCTTCGGGCCGGTCTTCCCATGCACATCAGTCTCTCCGTCAGCTCAACCCCGACTCAGAAGAACCAGAAGCCTATCACCTGACAAACTGAGAACTGAAAGAAGCAGAATCAAGAGACATGCAAAGGGAAGTCATGAGATTCAAATAAACACAGCACACAAACTAGGTTCCTGCCTTGCACCAGGGCTAGGAACCCAGAGTGTCTAAAGGAAGAAAAAAAAGAAAAAAGATGGAATGAGACCTGCAAGTTGGAAAACAGGGAGCCTGATAAAAATGCAATCAGTTATCGTGAACGTATAACCCAGGAAACTTAAGACCTAGGTCCTTAAC